AGCTGGTTAACTAACCGCGGTTAACCGGATTTCCCTACGATGGGGAATTTTGGGTCACGTGACCGGCAGAGTAAGGACGGCGGGGAAACATGGCGGTGCCCTGGTGAGTGAGCGCCGCTCGCTTTGGAACTAATACGTCGTAGTAGCTGCAGTAGCGGGCGCGTTAGTCAGCAATGAATGGCGCAGGAGGTTTTCGCGTTGCCTTACCTCACTTAAAAACGCAGAACATGAGCAATGACCTCGCCGCATTTTTTAGATAGACTTTCGACTCCGGCCATTCCTAAGCCTAAATGAACGCGATTGTCGGCTTGGCAACGTCTTTGGAAAGTGGATTGCCTTGACTCAATAGGCCGGGCATTGATAGCACACAAAAGCAGAGAGCGTTCCCTTGGACCTTTTGCTAAATTTCAAAAGCACCGAGGTGCATGCTACGAGTGTAGTTACACGCGCTGCACCTGTTGGCGTCTGCAGTAATAACCGTTCTAAAGCAAAAAGCCTACAACAAATTTTGCCGGGCACGCGCGTTCGTCAAATATTTATTATGATTATTTACTTCAAATATTTTATAAGTGGAACGCCAGCGCGCGCGGATTGCAGAATTACACTTCCAGCGTTCTTCTCGATGTTCGGGTAATTTACTAATAGGTCAATTTTCAGTGGAGCCGAATAACAGGTTTTTCAATTGATGACGGTGTTATATACAGTTCTTACATGCTGGCCAACCATGCTGCCGGTGTACCGCCCGCCTTTCACTGCTCACTTCTTTCTCATCGTTTCTAGGACTCAACTTCGTCGTCCTCTTTCGAACTCGGAAGGAAATTTCAACGAGGCTTTTCTTCACTTCATACAGCCAAATATTTAGAAAATTTCCAAACAAGGGTTAGTTTAGTTTTACCTTGCCGATTATTTGTACCACGAGCAATAAAAATTGTTCCCCCCCTTCCCCCTTCCCCCCCCCCCCCCCCCCCCCCCCCCGCCATTTCGGGAATTTTTCCACGGAAGCCACTTATATTCGCTACAGCCAGTAGGCAACACACCACCATATAATAAAACACGGAGCTATCGCTCATCCAGCCCTCGTCAAACTTGGCTAGGTACTTGTAGGTACCTAGTAGGGAAGGGTGGTTAACTTTTAACCGCGGTTAAAGTTAACCGGCTTCGAGGAAACGGGCCCAGGTTGTCAGTGCACAGTAACGTTACTAGGACCACTCAGTTGGGAAACTGCCCTATAGAGCCTGCTCTGAAAAAGTGGCACCGATCCGTATTCGAGTGCCGAGCTAATGGCGATCGCAACGCCGCCATTTCTCTCGCAGCGGCCACTCGAGGAACTGCACGTGACTTCGATTATGCTTTAATCAACCCCCGTCTCCGAAGCGGGCGTGCCGCGATTTATTACCAAGTTAAGATGCGCCTAGGTCGGGACGCGCTACCTGAAATCACCGCTGAGACATGATTGTATAAAAACAGTATTAATTGTGCCGCAAAACCTTGCAAACTAAAGATTTTTGAAAAACATCACGCGCCCTTCATTTTGTACTAAACTCCAATAAAGGCTACTACAAAGAGAGCTTTTTCCGTCTGTTCTTACGCGAAAACATGCTTTCAAAAAGCTCAAGATGACCACAGTAAAGACAAAAGATTAAGACTGGCGCTGTTGTTGTATTTATCTCGGTCTCGGTGGACGCCAGCGGCCCAGGTTTGAACGGCGAGCTTCCCAACTAAGTGTTTTAGTAACTTTGGCGCACATCTTTTGCAGCGGCAAGGACCCGGAACATGGTTTTCAAACCCGACGAGAAAAGAAGCGGTGGCGCGCGAGGAACGCGAGGAGCACGAGGGGGCATTCCATCCCTCGGGAGAAGTGTGTTTCGGCGTCTCGCCGCAGCGGGGCGCCTGTCAAGTGGCTCTCCTCTCATCCGTTGTCTGCCGCTCTATTTCGGTGGCCGCGTCTAGTGGCGATCTGCCAGGCTTTGTCAGTATGCTAAAACAAATGGCATCTTGCACGCGAGTTCGTCAACGGTTTATTTTGGTTATTTACTTCGAACCTTTTATACAAGGAAGGCGTGCGCGTGCGGCGCTGCGAGCGTAGAGTTTTTGTTGACGCACATAAGAAATCCACGGAACCCTAGTCATAAACAGCTTTGCTGTAAAAACACGCATGAAGGCCACAGTACGCCCGAAGGCAAATACACGTCTGCAGGCAAAGCACTCACGAAGGCAAAGCACGCACGAAGGCAAAGCACGTCTGAATGCAAGCACATGCCCGCAGGCAAAAGCACGCTACAGAGGGCGAAACGCCGAAAGGCAACAACTAGGGTCTCGAACCTCTAATGAAGCTAAGATTTAAATACTCACGACGGGAGCAGCGGGCAGACGAGCGGAGTCCCGGCCAGATTGCCACTTTACACTGAAACTATTCCGACAAAAACCAGCCCATCGCTAGTGATACAATGCGATTCAAGTTAACCTTATTTCATTGTGAACATTTTGAAGCGCAAAGAGGAAAATGGGAGGGGGGCGGTGAGGACGTCGCTTTTGTCAAGCGGGAAGAATACGAAACGGGGTAATTGAACGCGGGGTTTTCGAACATGTTTCGAAACGCGCGACATTTGCAACAGGGTTTCTGCACAAGGAACGATCGTGTGTCAGACTACACGCCATTTTCTCCTACAGAACGGACCCGATAATATTCCAAACTACTGTCTACGCCGTCTTGTTTTCTGGGTTGACATGATTCAGAAACGTCCGCGTCTCTGTCTCTGTGTTTGGCCGGGGGGGGGGGGGGTAAAAAAGGAGGGAAAGAAGGCAGTGCTGCCGGTATCGTCGTTCCTTTTTCTGAGTCACTGTTCCCGCGCGTGACTAGGACATGCGCTCGAGCTGGAGCGCCAACGCCGGCGGTCCGTGCAGATTCAAACCAAGTCCCTCCCCACCGGCTGATAAGTCAACGCGGGCCGAACACTTCCAGACGGGGCACACTTCGTTTGACCGCGGATTGCCGACGACCATGTTCCCATTTTAGCACCGCCACTTCGCTCTGCTGCGGTCTCACAACGTAAACGGGATATGGAGAGAACCAAGCGACACAGAGGTAAGATGTTTCGGCTTACTTATCTGTATACCATTTTTCGCGTTCGTGAAGCCCGAAATAGTTTTACGTGTTATCGCCGTCGACTACCACCATGCATGGCACGTAAAGGACAGAAGAACCTGCGACTTGCGTCTATGCGAAGTCATTTTGTGCTACAATCGCACCACCGGTTGTGTAACTTCAGAGAAACGGTAGATATGTGACATATCTACACGTTGTCTTCTAACTCTGCCCCCCCACCCCCCAATGAAAAAAAAAACAAAAACCTTGTTACGTTTGCAAACATTTAAAAGACCGGTACAAAACGTCTCAAGATGTTATGCAAGTCTTGTCAAGATGCCTTGTAGATATCTAATCAGTGTTTTTGTGTGCGGTGGGCACCTTGGCGAGTTTTATTTTTCGCAAATTTGACCAAACTGCTTCTGCTTCTTGAAAACTTTTGCGGAAACGAATTTCGCGATCGGTTGTGATTGGACCCTACGATTCGCGCTATCAATATTTAGCCATAAAAGTGGACGGCATGCTGAATCGGAGCTCCGAAGGCGTAAACATTACTCACAAAAACACGGAAAATAGTTTTGGAGATGTTAATAAAAGCCTTGGTTCAATAAAGCCGGCTCGTTTCCAGTGGTTTCAACATCCTAATCATTCCTAGAATCATGATGAAAGGAATATCAATGTGTTGCTAAATAAGCTCCCATCGTTTAGCCCTGCATGGTCTTTGGCTTTTGGGAGAGCCTCAACTTGTTTCATGCATTGGTAGTGACGAGAAATAGGGAAGGGGGGAATTTACCTTCTCCCATTGTTTTGTTTTCAATAGAAATGTGTGAAGTGTTTGGGGTGGCGATTGAACCCCCTTTCGACGCCACTGGCTCAACCCATCTTCCCTACAATGCCCTCCCCCAATCCTTTGCAGATTCTCCGGCGACATACACTTACCTCTTCTCACCGACGAGCCCGCAGCAGGGCAACAAATCACCCCAGGCCCTACTGGCCACCAAGGACGAGACCGGACGCTTCTGCTGCGTCTGCTGCAGCAACGCCTTTGACTCCGAGCGCGACCTGGTGGTCCACCAGCGCTGGCACACGGGCGAACGGCCCTTCCAGTGCTCCAAGTGCTTCGACTCCTTCGCGTCCGTGTCGGCACTAGTCCTCCATCGGGGCAGCGTTCACGACCGGCGCTCCATGTTCCGGTGCACCTTCTGCGGACGCGCATTCACCGAGGGCTCGGCCTACTCCAAGCACCTGAGCCGGCACCGAAAGGCCGGAGCGCGCTTCCAGTGCTCCTGCCTGCGGATGTTCCGCAGCGAGTCGGAACTCAAGAAGCACCTGGACGTGCATGACAGCGGGACGGGCCATGGCTGCCCCCTGTGCAGGAGGCTGTACGAGACGCCGCTGGCACTCGGGGCGCACGTGACCAAGCACAAGACGCACACCTCCCCCAAGGCCAAGGAGAACGAGTGAGCCGCTGCGGCATCGAGCCGCCATTGACCACAATGCTTTTCAATAAACAGGGCTTGGATCTGAGACACACTTTTTTCGTGCCTTGAAAAAAGCAAGTTCAAATGGCGCACCAAGCTGATGACAGGTTTTTGGTTTCTTTTCCCAAATGGATCTTTTCGGCATAGATGACACCAAGTGGTCGCCATACAAACTACACTTGGTGGGGTCAGATGAACGAGTAGATAGACGCATACGGCTCAGCCCTTTTAATGGGGCAGTGGCTTGTACCAACTGGCTTCTAGGTGAGAAGCCCAAGTTAAGTGCTGGGAGTTTGTTCTCGTCTCACTTTAATCTTTAATTGAAGTGAAATGATTCTTGCAAAGCATTTCATCCAAACTTCCAGCTTCTTTATGCTTGGCAATTCTGCAGTCGAAGCGACGCAAGTGAGAACTGACTGTGGGTGTGTCGTACAGCAATGATACCGGGTGTCGACTTGATTCACAGGGATTGCAAAAGAATTCCCTTAAGTTCTCTAGTGGCTGACGGGATGACCATTCTTTTCCTAGAAGACTGTTGTGCGTAATAACGTGGCACTCATTTGAAAAAGAAAAAAAAAACGGCTACGCACGAGATGCAGAGGAGGGGGCGGGAGAGGTAGTCCATATCCCTCAATGGCTGTCCAAACTGGGACTAAAATGCTCGTGCTCTGAAAGTTCCGACGCGCAGATACGTTTTCAGGGAGGAGATCAACCACGCAAACAGCACAGCTTTCCTCCTTGCCTTCTCACTGTCGACTCCTCCACTTTCTCTTGTTTTTGGGAGATTGGGAGCCAAAACAATAGCAGAGGCCTTGACGACGGCCAGCAGTGCATACAAATGGCTCTCCAAACCAACGGTTCAAGCCTCTGTCCAATGACGTAAGTAAGCAAGCTTTCCCCCTGGCAAAAAAAAAACCTGCCAAAGCAGATTGGAATTGGAGGGAAATCTCTGCTCCCAATAGAGTGAATGCTGCATCTGCAGAAAGCACGTCCTATTTGGACAACGCTAGAGGACTTCTGTCCATTGCCCAAAATTCAAGCTTTTGCAGCAGATGAGAATGAAGGCATGCACAGAACTCTTTTTGCAAAAGGTTTGTTGGCAAGTGGCTGCCACTCTCCCTAACAATTAAGGCTAAGGGCCCTGGATGACATGGATATAGCCCTGGTAGTTTTACAATTCTGAGAATATAAAATCTGAAATGCTCATGGTAGCCAGACAGAGGGCACATTTTTTAAGTTCACTCTAGTGAGTATTTGATTGCTTCTGAGCACTGCTATTTGCTACTTTATGCGAGATTCTGTAGCACTTCTAGGTACCAGATTAATGCGCATGGAAAATAGATATACCAGACACAGTGAAAAAATGTTAAATAAACAGCACGGTTATCATGAACCAACTCGCCTACGTCACGACTCTAATACAGTGAAAGAAATGCTCATGACACAAATAATGCAACAAATAAAAAGTTGGAAGACACCTAAGCATTTCTTACGAGCTGTGAATGCGAAAGCATGAATAGCCAATGAAACGCCGCAGAGTGATCCGCAGAGTTTTGTGGCGCAAGTAATGTTTTCGAGTTGTGGCAGAAGCACCGGCGACGATGTGGATGCTAGAGGCGGTGCCATGCTTGTCGGCGGCGAGACAAGCAGAAGCACCGCCGACGATGTGAATGATGGAGGCGACGGCATGTTGGTCAGAGACGAGCAGAAACCTCCGAGCGTGCACCAACATGTCCGTTTTAACTGGCGCGGGGCCCGTAGTGGCGTGGGGTTGCGGCGGTTAGTTTTATCGGCACACTGGCGGCACGGACATGCAGTGCCATCAGGCGGCAGTCGTTGAAACTGACGCACGCAGCAGCCAATGGGAGCTTCGTCGCCGCGCGCCAGCCAATAGGACCTTTTGGGATCAGGAAAACTAGGTGCCGTGTCCGCGCTTCAAACTGATGACGTCGGCTAGCTCCATGGGGCAGTTAATGCTTTCGCATTAATAACTGCAGAAAACCTAAAACGTTAAAACTGGTGCACCCAAACACAAGAGGAACACGTAGGCACCATTTACGAAGTCAACTTGTGCTCCCACATGCCTTTCAGCGAGATCTTTGCTGCTTGGAAGAGAAAAGAACGTCTGGCAAAGTTCTAAAAGTTCCAACGGCAAAGTCGATCGGCAGCCTCATGATACATGCTGCCCTTTGACTACTCAGAGTGTTTGTCGACACTGAATCCTCTCTCCTGCTTTAAACAACCTTGGATTCAATACTGATTTGAGCAGGACAACATTTGAGAGCTTTACATCGAAGCAGGTGTCCTACTACCACTTTGCACCAAATGATCTGGAAGCAGGACATGGAAGAGACATGGCCACACTTTTATTTTAACCACTGGTATGCAGGCAGTGTGCGAAGCATTACTTCCAACAGGGCCCCCGCAGAGGTTACCTGCAGCACAGCAAGTCTTCTTATGTACAGGTTCCCTGCCTCACTTCCACAACTTCTTGATAGACATGTTCTTTTCTGCATCCTTTTGCATGACCTGAAAACGAGAAAGTGAGATAGCCTTAGGTTTCAAGTCCCAATTAATGTTTAAAAAAAAACAAAATTAATAGTAATCAAGTTGCAATCATGGCATACCACTGACAGTGAGGTGAAGTTCGAAGCTTACAAAAAAAGATTCCTGTTGGCCCCCTCAAATATGCTATTTACATACCCTTAAAATGAAATGGGAATATTTTAACTTAATTTATTTTCCCTCTCGTTGCCTACAAAATGTTGGAAGGGTAGATATTTTCTCTTTTACGCGAAATTCACCCTATAAGGCTGGGTCATCGTCTAAATATAGGCTTCGCATTGCTATACCACGACGAGCCTTTAGGAAGCTCTAATCTGCATGAGTAGTTTGTTTTATGTGTTCAAATCAGGGTGTCGAACCGGAACCGAACCGAACCGAAAACCGGAACAGAACCGTTATTTTTAGCCGAACCGGAACTGAACCGAACCGAAATATTCGCCGCCATCTTGGAACTGAACTGGAACTGAACCGGAAAAAAATATAACGGTAACCGGTTCAAAACGGTTCGCGGTATTTTTTTGTTTGTTAGTATTACAAATTTATTATTTGGGAATAAAAAAACTGGCAGCTGTATTTCTATATTGATCAAATCGTCATATACAGAATTGCAATGTATAATAAATCCTGGTTTTCTGCGGCGCTTTCTTATTGGCACTGTGATTAGCCATGTGTCACATCGTCACGTGACGTCATGATGTCAAGATATGCTCCCAAGTAATGTCACATCACGTGACCCCGTGACGTCACGTGACTCACCGCGTAGATTCAAATTAAGGAAGTCGCTAGATCTATTAACGTTGTTGATACCGTGACGTCACATGACATCATAACTTCGCACTGAGAGTCACGTGACACCATGATGCACCCGATTGTCATGATCCCGAGTTGAATGCTCTGGTTCATGACAACCAGCATCCCCAAACATTCGGGTGACGGCTCGTGTTCAACTCAAAGATTATGATGGGCCCGAGTCCCAGTAGAACTAGAAACAGAAACAAACGACAGCGACAAGCCTCAGACACATGCAGTATGTTCGCGATGGTACCTTTATACGGCTTTGAGTTGTTCGGTGCTCGCGAAGTTTGCACGAGTGTTTACAAGCCTGCAACTGGTACCATCGTGTGCATGATACTCGTGTTTGAGCATAGCCTTCTTTATTCTACGAAGCCTGTCAAATCGCGAAATACTCTGGTTTAAGGCTGGCCGCTGTCGTTTGTTTCTGTTTGTCGCTTTAGTTGGGCTCGGGCATTGTAGCCCAACTAAAACTATATCTGAAGATCAGCCCATGCTCTCTGCTTTGCCAACCCCGCGTATGACTATGATAGACACTGACGGTGTGTATATTAGGATCAGATCACGTGGCTGATAGTTCTAATTGCGAGTTGAGGAGGAGAAAGCAATTTCATTTCTTTCTTTCGACTGTCTGCCATTTCGCGGAGGGGCAAACTAATGGATGCTTTTGTAAGTTATCAACGTCAGGGATTACATCTTAGCGGTATTTATTGAACTTAAGGTAAAAAAAAAATGCCGCACGACCCATTTTACATGTATGCACACCTTTGAGGCTCCCAAACATGTTTTCGTTATTGCTGAACTGCCTCAAAAAGTTGTCCCGAGAATAGAAGTGTTAAAGGGTCTAAATGTGATGTATTAGTCCGACGTTACATGAAACTATTAGTGTGTACGGGAGGGATACTTGAAAAGAAAGATCCTAGTGGCCTCAGGGGGATAGCAGCCACTCTAAGTCTCACAGGAGTGTCGTTCTCAAGTTCTCCAAGTTTCGACCGCCCTGTATTTTGTTTAAACTTCACAGTGTGGTGCAAAGTAAAAGCAAGGAAGAATTATTGTTAACAAGTGACACAAATATAATTGTCGAGTGAACACCATCAATACGGAGCAGGCAATCCCTGAGGAACACAAAGTATCTTGAGGAGCAACTAAAAAAAAAAAAAAAGGGAGTGGGGAGGGGGGTAGTTTTAAAGCATACTGTGTCGTAAAGATTCTTCTGCCCCGCATTTTCGGCGCAGACTACAAAGCGTGGCCTGGAAACGGTAGTGACAGATGGGTAGTTGGTAAAACTTTTATTTGTAAAAACACTCTTGCCAGAAAGCACGTTTTCGTCGTGCGAGTTACTCGCGCCGTGCCTAACGACGATGCACCAACAAGAAAAATGTGTGCCTCTCAAATACACAGCTTGCACTGAGCGCGAAACTTTCGCAGCGTGAATTTTGCCCCACCGGATTGATATTCTCAGCAAGAACAACTCGCAATGACAACCACTATCTAGTGCGATTACGTCACGTGCAAACCATGTTAAATACTTCAGCTTTCGGGTGAAGTGCGACGTTCGCAACACCAGCAGTAGACGTCCAAGGTGTAAAGTTGTGTAGTATTTATAGCAGTCTCGCGATGATATACGGCAGCCTAATGAGATGTTGGAGCACATGACTGATAAAGAACAGAGTCGTGAAGTAAGGTCCCAAAACAAGTGCACGTAAAACCTAAGATAACATTAGCCTCCCGAGGTAGTATCTCGTGACGTTTCGAGCTGAGGTAAGCTGATGCCCAAAAGTGATTTATATTAGGATTTTTAAAATCTTCTTTTACCCTGCACGCAATTTATGTTTAATTAGGAATATCATTTTATGCATTTCTATGCATCTCTTTTTGTAGTAAAAAGTTGTGTAAGGGATTATTTAGAAAAAAATTGCGTGTCATCTTTTTATTTCTGCCCATTTCGTGTATTTGCCTTCCGATATATCATGTGACCACAGTGTTTTTTGGCATACCCTGCAACCCAGTATTTTACACTGCAAAACAGCTAACAAAAGCAGGTTGCAGAAGACTCAACAGCTGGCGTATTTTCGAGTATCGTCCTTCCGTGTCGGTCTCAGGCGGTTAAGTGAACTTTATAAAGTCAAATTTATTGATGATAATAAAAATATACTTAATTCCTGTCTGAATATTTGGCAGCATAAATAGAAGATCCTCACCTCAAAGATATATAAGTAAATGCACCTTTAAATTATCAGAAAGATGTTCTGCAAATCTTTTTCGGCGCTTTTATCCTCTATAGACACGTTATAGGTGATTTGGGAAAGCTTTAAATAATTTTTTTTATTTTGAAGCTAATTTAAATACCTATATGTTCCTCACGCATATATAACTTCTCAAATATATAGAAGTTTATTATCGCCTTTTTTATGTGTTTTTATTATCGCGTTTTTTTACTGGAACGAATGGTGGAACTATGACGATTGCACACTTAAACTCTCAGAAAGTGTCCGATTAAGTAGCGTCCGAATTGAGTAGAGCACGAAATACCACTTTGTTCTATTTAACAAAAATCATCAATTAGCGAGGGTGATGCTCATTTGCAAATTAAATTGACCGGCATTTCGTCAAGAGCAAACCTCAACATCCAGGCTATGCCAGTGTATCCAATATAAGAAAATGTACACATGGGTAAGCACTGTTTTAGGTCAGATTCGATCTCAGTACGAAGGTGCTCATAGATTAGAGTGAACAATATCAGCCACTCCTTTTCGCATGATTCGTCGCCCGCATCATGGTGCTGAGAGCAAACAATGCTATAGTTAGAAAAACAAGCATTGCGATTGTCGCTTAGTGTTTCTATAAAATATAGACTGGAAGGACTTGTCCCGTTACTTTCGTGACATTTTGAAAATTATATTGCCTTAAGCTCAGTCGTCTCGTCATCATATATATATATATTGTGAAACGTATTCCGTAAAACACATTTTATGGTATATATGGCGACGAGGTGCCCATTTCATGATTTTATTCACTGTAATTAATTCCTTAGTTCAAGGGCAAAACCACGATTCAACATCTGATACTGCGATACAAAGTTGTACCAATCACGGGTATTTTAGGCAACCTACTTCACTTCGCGAAAACATTTCGATTCAGGTACAATGTATGTGACTCTGGTAAACGAAGGGATGTTGAGTCGTATAAACTCGACGTTTTGTATGTTAATGTAGATTTTCTTTTCTTGTTCTGTAGGAATAAATAACAGAATTTTATAATTTTGGTACCTGAAAATAAAACTGGATTGAACAAACGATAAAAAAAGAAAACTATATACTGTAAACGACTTACTTTTCATGGGCTCAATATTTCGCGATTTAGGTCAAAGCTGAAGTTTTGGAATAATTCGCGGGTTGTAATTTTCTCGACCGCGGTGGAATCTCAATATAAATTTCAATCTGTTTACATTTTACCGAAATTGTTCGTGGGACCCATTTTTCGCGAATTGTATACGATTCGCGAAATTCTCAAGAATAGGTCCTCGCAAAAATCAGATCGTTTACAGCAGTTAGTTTCACGGCCTAAATAGTGCCTATTGACAGAACAACTCGGAAAATATATTCTCAATTTAGCGGTTCAAACCGGTTCGAACCGGTTTGAACCGTTATTTTTTGCGCCCCGGAACTGAACCGGAACTGAACCGAAAGCCGTGAACCCGAACCCGAACCGAACCGATAAAAATATCGGTTCGACACTCTGGTTCAAATGGACCCATGAACGTAAGCATGTCTCTATTAGGCTCAGAGTTTTATGAGGCACTGCTTTGAAAAATCTCTCTCTGTTTAAGTTAAGTACTAGCGTCAAGCGACGCGAGAATTAAACCTACACTTTTGAAGTCTGTGCGCTGCAAAAACGTTTTCTGAGTGCACTCAGATTTGAAGAACCTGAGTTGGGGGTCACACGCACAAAACAGGATGTCTACTATAATGATTTTCTTGATCTCGTAAATCGGAGAAGATGAAGTGTTTCAAAGCATCGATATTGACAGCGAGGACTTGCCATTCTAGATTGTAACCTACTGTAATGTCTCATAGTGCTGTAGGTATCCGTTTAAATGAGTCAATAAATAAATAACTTTGTAATAACTATGATAATCGACTCATTATGAATAGAAACAGTTGTGGGACTTTAAGACCACATAAAGAGTTAAACGTGAGTGGTGGAATCATAAGAGGGTGGGTGACGTGCTGGGAGAGTGTGTAGTGAGGCCCCCAGGTGGAACACCCAAAACTTCTGCAGGGGCTTTTTGAGCGGATGAGTTGAGGAATGCAAGTAACAAGGTAAAGGCGCTTCTTTTCCTGGTGACAAGAAAGTGCCCGAGACTTTGGACAGGGGCGCACCTTAGCCACTGCCATCTCGAAGTCTTCCTGGGTGACGTGGACACGCCTCTCGCGCAGAGCGTACATGCCGGCCTCGGTGCAGACCCCCTTGACTTCGGCGCCGGAGGCCCCGGGCATCATCTCGGCAATCTTGCGCAGGTTGATGCCGCGGGTCAGGTTCATCTTGCGCGAGTGGATGCGCAGGATGTCCAGGCGAGCCTGCAGAGGAACGAGAAGGCCCGGTTGCAGACGCCTTTGCCGTGCACTAAATGGCAAAATAAAAATTGTCACGGATAGAAAAGGCTCGACGAGCGTAAACTAAAAATAAAGGTTTAGTTGGCGAACTTATGCCCGAAACAAAAGAAAGAATGAATGTTGAGAAAGCAGCAGCGAGTGTCGTGGTATCGGCGTGTTGGCTGGCTAGCGCCGAGAGTCAGTCGGCAAAGCCACGCTCGGCTCCCTATCTACTGCACTCGGTATCTCAAATATTCGGTGTAGAATGTTCCGAGAGCGAGCTGACATTAATCTGTAGAATTGTTACATTAATCTGTAGAATTGCCAGGGACGATGTTGTAGAGGACAATATGCTGCACTTAGTATAGAGGGTGCACTTAGGGAGCAAGGTGAGAACTCGATATGTGCCGGCTTGCGATGCAGCCGAGAGCAGTGGTGTTTGAACAAGAGGGGGCAGGGGGGGGAAGGGGGGAGTTGCGATTGTCCCTCCAGACATTTTTTTAGTAATGGCGGCTCGCAAGCTCGATAGTCTGCACATTTCCCAGTGCCAATTTTTAAGATATTTTGCAAGCATGAATTTTTCAGATTCGGAGTGGCGCGCTAAATATTCATCACAATGGGATTCATTATTGGAAGACTCGATTATTTGCGGATATTTTAAAATCCCAAAATTTGCGAAAATGAAGTTCTCGCGGAAATTGAGCTTTTTCCGAATTCTTGTTTCGAGGGTACATGGTTAGAAAACGGGCACTCTCTGGTCAGTTTTGGGCACCATCAAGCTCCTTATTTCATGCTGTTTTAAGACATCAACATGGGAGAAACATAACATCAGCAATGCCCAAAAAGCAGAAGGACATATATATTTGTTCTAAATAAACGTTTGTAAGTGTTTCGATTTTATACATCCATATTGTCCTAGCTGTTTCATCCCCATCCCCATCCCGTCCCCTCCTCCCGCCCTGAAATACTTCAGACGCCACTGGCCAAGACATATTAAGGCCCGTTCACACTCTTGCGACCGAGTACGACTGAGAGAGACGAGATCTCTTACAACTTCTTAAATGTTTCTAGAATGAGGGAACACACTGCCATTGTGGTGCCATCTATGCGGTGACCCTAGAACTGCATTTCACAAAAGCGAGGGTTTTGCGGGATTTCCGAGGTCAAATGTGCGTAATACCCATAGAAAGGCTCGTTTATAACATTGACAAAAGTTTTTCGAGCCAAAAAAGAAAGGATATTGCGCGAGAAATAAAAAAAAATATGCCGGACTGCCGAGTTTACACTGCTTCCCAATAGATGGCGCCAGTGTGTTCTCTGGTTTAAGAAGTTTTAAGGAACCCAGGTTTAAGAGGTCGCAAGCAGTCGCAAGAGCGTGAACGGGCCTTCATACTTATCATATCAACGTGCTATGCTTGCCGTGTATTAATCCATCAATCTACAGAGTGCCATAATTTCTAAAAAAATAAATGATGACTGCATATATAATTACATTTAATTTCTCTCACCACCCAGACGCAGTTCTAAGTGAATATTGGTGAATATAGGCAGTGTAGTAAAGCTATCCCGTGTTTTCTTTGTTACCAGAAAAAGTTGAACGAGTTTAATGAAGATGAGACAAATTAGTTCCACACTGAAACCAGACCTAGTCACTCAATGGCGGTCCTGGATCGGGCACAGTTCACAGTCCCGAGTCCAATTCAGGCCCACCAAAGGTGCTGGCCCGAGCTCAGCCTGAGCCCGCGCTCAAAAGCCCGAGCCTTACCCAGGCCAGCAGATAAAAGCCCGGGTCCGGCCCAAACCCACCAAAAAACCGCCTGGCCCGGCCCAACCCGCAGGCCTTCGGGCAGCCCAAGTCCGTGCAGTGCTCTAAATATTATGCTTTTCTGGTAGGGTCTGCTGAAAAACGCAACATCCATCCAAACTGAATCCCGGTAAACTGGATCTAACCCCTCAGCCATTGGCCGAGGAGGCCCAACACGCATGCAGAGCTACGCAGTACATGCGTAGCTCTACATGCTTGGCAAAAAAGGCAGCATGACAAGTGCATGACAAGACATGCAGTAACAAACCTCTTCATTCGGAGGCGGGAACTCGATCTTGCGGTCAATCCTGCCGGGCCTCAGAAGGGCAGGGTCCAGGATGTCAATGCGGTTAGTGGCCATGATCACCTGGTATGCACAGGAAGCAAAATATGCGTTCTAGCAACCCCGTAGCAGTTACATACGTGGAAGACATAAAACTGAAACTTGAAATGTCCCCATCATGCATCTCTTATACCATATTCGCAACAACAGCAGCCCATGGGCAAATTTCGTAGACTTCACTATAGTTGCAGTCGGCATGGCATTCTTGATGCCTCTGTGACCAAGGACTTTGAGAACTATGTTCTCTCGAGCAAGTGAGTATGTTGGTGTGTCAAGCAATGTTTCCCTTTTTCTTTGTGTTCAATAGCCTGTCACCGTTCCTTTGTTAGTAGTTTGCAGTGGTTTTGCTGATTCTTTTGTTCTGTTTAAAGCTAGATATGTACTTCTATTAGGGTCTTGGGCCTATTTGAGGATGATTGGGTTTAATAAACTTTTAGCCACATTTTAAAGGGATACTACAACGAAATTTCGGCGCTTATTTTTTTGGTCTATACGTGTTCAAAGGAGCAGTATCCCATCGGACACACCAATATCTTGTTAAAAAAAGACATGAAAAGGAATTTTAAAGCAAAGTAAACGATTAGCAAAGAGCAGCTTTGCTAATCGTTAGCTGCGGTGCCCCGATTGCTGGCATGCTTCCACCGCTTCAGTGGCTGGAACGGCTAGGGCATCCTAACAACGCCAGCTTCGCCGCAGCTTCGCTCATGCCGAGACAAACTATATCACGATTGCGCCGCATGTGACGTGCTCTCCGCTGGCTGCTCTCCAAGCGTTTGCCGTTTATAAAAAATACAGCCAACAGGCTCAAAATACAAACGTGCGATTGTCATTTACAGATCTTGTGGATCATATTCAGCCTTTTCCTGAACACGACGGGTATATTTCAAATTTCGTTGAAGTATCGCTTTAAGTTTTGTGTTTGCCTATCCCCTTTTTCCTAATTACATTTTCGTTACTATCTCCCCTTCCAAATGCTTTTACGGAGAGTGCAGGTGCTGCAATAGGTTAAAGCAGGTTCCCAACCCCCTCGCTTAGGACAGCATACCTTGATGTTTTTGGTGGCTTCGAAGCCATCCAGCTGGTTGAGCAACTCCAGCATGGTCCGCTGAACCTCGCTGTCCCCGCCGGAACCGGCGTCGATACGTGACGACCCGATCGAGTCGATTTCGTCCATGAAGATGATGGACGGGGCGTGTTCCCTGATATGGAACGAGTAAAAGAACAGAATCTTCAATTACGATTCTAGAGGGATAAGAACCACAAGAGCTAAACCTTGAACTCAACAATGACTAAGAAAACACACACTTCGGCACAGTCAAGTTCCTAAGGCATGAGACCGTGCCACAACAAACAAACGTGAACTTCGCAATAAATAAGCAGACAGAGCATTAGGATGAGGTGACTTGCCTATTCCCTGGCTCATCTAGGTTCTGAAGTTTACTGGTTATCACGAAGAACAATAGCATTATCGCTATTGCACCGATAAATGTTTGAGTTCCATCTGGATCATGCATTAATACATCTTACAATTTTCTTTCACCTCAGTGCATTGAAAAATTTATCAGACGTTTTCCTACAGGCACACAAAAGCCTTGTGGTAAAGTAACATATTTTCTAATTTTTTTCAACGCCCAAATATTTAGGGGGGGACAAGCCTAAATTTAAAATATTAAAAAAGAAATTCATTTTTTAATTTTGAGGTTTTTGGTTTTAGAAACTAATTATACACCCTGACACTAAATTTGATAACCATATGCCAAATAGTTACTTTGATATAAAATATTTTCAACAGATTGTGAGGCAGTAACAAAGTAAAGGAGTTGAATGTTTGAATGCATTTTTCTCAGTTCTGCTTTTTGCTGCAAATTTCGTACAAAGGAATCCTTTGTTCGAAGGTAGAAGTATTTTGATACCACAATCAAGATGTTTCTGTACATAAATTCACTGGGGAACCAGGCTATCTACTTTATTTTGTTTTAAGTTAAAGTCCTCATTGAAGGAAAAAAAAAACATGTTTTCAAAAATTTACATAAACAGATATGCACCTCATATTTTGAGGTACCCACTCTTCTTGAAATACTTACATTAGACTTATAAAAACTAGATAGCCCAAAATTCCACATTCTCTACTTCATATCCAGCAGTCAAAATGGTGCTTAATAGCTTCATTTGCATATCATAGATTTCTTAATGAAGAGTGACACATTTTCTTGTGCAAGTATGTAAAGTTATCCTAAAGAGATGAAAGTTTGCACCGTACACCTACATCTGATGTTAAATTTCCCCTGCAAATTTCATTCCGATCACTTGAGTAGTTCAGAAGCTAAATCTCTAGCCAGTGACCCCCCTTAAGCTGAATCACACAAGCATTTTATGCCCATGTTCCTTCGCTGACAATTTGAGGATTCCCCAGCACTGCCAGATAGTGTCAAATGTCTGCACAAGTACAGGCTCAGGCCTCAAGGCTACAATCGGAATGGGCCCGGGTCTCGGGTGCACATTTGTGACGCGTGACAAGCGTTCTCCCTGTCAACTTATTCTTAAATGCGGCACACTACCCCAATGAATTTCCCCAATATTCTATTTCATATGTAGTGCACAATGCTCCTGGTGTGAGCATGTGACTTTATCTAGCTATTAATGCACACCTGCTCTTACACAAGAGGGATACCAGGTAAAATCGCACGCTAGCGATAGTGGCTTTGAGAGCACCGTACACCATGCATGAAATAGAGTATTCATACTTCAAATCGCCCGAACAAGCGATTACAAGAGGCAGAGCAAAGGGGGGAGGGGGTCCTCACCTGGCCATAACGAAGAGCTCCCGCACCATGCGTGATCCCTCCCCGATGAACTTCTGCACCAGCTCCGAGCCGGAGACGCGGATGAAGGTGCAGTCCGTGTGGTGAGCCACCGCACGCGCCAGCAGCGTCTTGCCCGTGCCGGGAGGACCGTACAGCAGCACACCCTGACAACCGGACAAGACCGACGTGAGACTACGGCGGCTAGAAGGCGCCTTTCACCGGCGCATTTTGGCGTCGCGTGCCGCCAACGTGTCGCAGCGTCCCCAACAAGATGCTGCGGGAGCAGTCGTGACGTTGGGGGTGTTGTCACAACCCCGGCAATCGGTTGTGAAGACTGAATGCGAGCGTCACAGTCGTCGTGGCATCTCAACCTGTGGCTGCTGAAGTTTTTGTTCACTGCTCAGTAGAAGAGTGAACTATAGCTGAATGAGTGACTGCGGTGTCCACCTCCGCTGCTGTGTCATCGCGGTGTAATGGCGCAGCGAACCACAGCGTTTCACAGCTGAAAATCGTGGGGGCCAAATAAGAGGAGCGGCAAACATACCGGCCGGAGACTCGCACCAGCAATGTAGAGCGCAGTATCGAGACAGAATGGAGATATTGAAGTGTGCAAATAGCTACCCCAACCACTTTAGGTTCTGAATTAGACAGCGGGTTTGGCAGCATTTGCGAAATCAAATATACACGCTATCTTCTGGAAATGGCCCCTTATAGCACTGTCAGACTTAATTCACTCTTATGATAAAAGAATGATGAGTAAAAAATCAGGAAATATACGTGAACCGGAAGTGTGCCAGGGCTACCCAATAGATGGTGCCACAGAGTTTGTTGCCAAACAAAAAAGGGCGAATACTTCCATTCACCTGTAAGCTGACAGTGCAGTGGAAGCTACGTAGTTGTGGGACAAGTTGTGCTTCCACCTTTCGCCACATGACCGCACTCCTGTCAGACCCCGAGCATGGTTCCCAACACACTGCCAGTTTAGGGGTGAAGAGAGTATATAGCGATAAGGTGTCACAGCACCTGGTTAAATCCCGCCACCGTGATGCAGAGAACAGCAAAAGGCATTCGTGGTGAAACTTTCAAAAAACGGTGAAGGCAAGCAAAGGGCACCCACCTTGGGCTGTGCAATGCCGAGTGCCTCGAACAGCTCCGGATGTTTGACCGGCAGCTCGATCACCTCTTTGATCTCCTTGATCTGCTTGTCCAGGCCTCCCACCATCTCGTAGGTCGAATCCGGCACCTTCTCCACCATCATCAGGCTCACAAGGGGGTCCACCTACAGCCCGGGGATTTTGGTTGGAAGGGACGCTCCAGCTTTTGCCAATGACCCGAGCTTCAGGTCAATGACCCTAACTTCCAAGGAAGTCTTTCTGTATGTGTTGGACAAACTCGGCAATGGCTTAACTTGCAACAAGCCTCCCAATTTGGTACAAGTGGGAGAATGCTAAGTTGCCCTACAATTTAAGTCAATGTCTGCCACCTATAAAGTTGGACAGACATAATGTACATTGAGCTTAGTCTCCTGATGCCCCACCATGCTGAGGAATTGGAAGTTTTAACTGCACTTCACTTTGTTTGCTTATAACTCTGGCTCTGCTCTGCTTCGTTTGCTTATAGCTCTGCCAGAATGACCCAAAGCAGGACAGTCACAGTACTTCCTTTACTTTGCTGTAAGTGTATGATAAAAACAATAAAAAGTATAGCCATTACTTTGAATGCCCTTTTCATTTGTAATAGTGAAATTAAGGAGTAGGGACTACATTCCTCCTTATAGCCTTCATCATCTCAGTTTCCTGCCAAAGTCACAAGCATCATTAAGTGCATGCCAGAAATGCAGCTCTTGTAAACTGACCTTGTTCGGAAGGATCTTGTGGAGGGTGTAGCTGTCGTTGCGGAGTGCAACCCTGCTGTTAGGCGTCACGTTGGCAATGTCAATGTTCTTGTCAATGTCAACCACAAACTTGCCTTCGGGGTGAACCTTGGGAGAGAAGTGAGCAAAGATTGATGCGGGCGCGGCATAACAACGCTCGACTCTGGCCCACCCCGAATGTGATGCGGCCAAGGTAAAAGCCGGTTCACGATGCATACTTCTTACCTTCACTAGCACTTTTTTCTTGTCCATGGGCTTCACCACTTCACCGACGTACGAGCCCTGCTCCTGAAGCAACTGCAGCTCTTCACGAAGCATCCTCACTAAAAGTGATTAAAACTCATCTATCACGCTCAAAAGCGCTTGTTATCTCTTCAAACTTATAGAATGATTGTCGTGAGGCTTGCTGCGGCATTTATCTTCACAAGAGCAGCTTCCCCGTGAATAACAGCCCTTTTTGCTGCTCTTGGGTGGCACTGATCTGGTCGCTCGATACAACACCAAAGGTTTATGAGATTCACGCTACAAACATGTTTACATTGCCTTTACCCAACGTGTACCCGTGACTATATGTGATTTAACATCACGGTTTTGGCCACTTTTCAAATAATTGGTGTATACTTTATAACCTCATTGAGAAATGAGGTTTGAGTGCGTCCCCGAGAAAAGAGCTATGAACTTAAATGGGGATTTCCCCATACAGAAACAACGCAGAGCCATCGTCACGGGCTGTCAGTGGCATCAGACAATATTTTGCTAATAACAGGCGTCGACGATTAGTGGGAACATCTGAGTCTAGTACTGCTCGCCTGTTTACGAATTTAAAAATTGTGTCGACTCCCAGCCTCTATTAACGATCAACCTGCAAGGTTAGCGGAATTATGCTGCCAGAAAGCTGAAAACAATGTAATCACGCTTACCTTTCGCATTAAGCTCATTTCTCTGCGCTTGCAGTCGCCTCAGATTTTGGGTTTTGTCAGACACCACGAGCTGTTCAGAGGAGACGCTCATGAGCGACAATTCCGAGCAGAGCCCTACTTTTGAGTGGCTTACCTGTAACTCTTCTATTTTTGTTATGTAGTACTGCTTCAGACCGTCCCCTTTGGGCGAGTCGTCGACTTCCATCTGAAAGGAGTGGATAATGATGAAGCGAGTTTAGGAACAAGGTCTTGGTTCCATGGCCGCAGGTCAGTGACTCGCGTGAGTGAGGTTGGTTGTCTGTCGATCGTAGGAGGCGGCATAATTCAAAACAAAGCATCTGGCATTTCTTAACTGTTACCGTCGAAATTATAACGTGTTAAATGTCGTTAATATAGTCGACCGATGAATATTCCGAGCCTTCAATCGGGATCGGTAAAACCCATACAATGAGATGACTGGCAGGAATTGCTGGAACGCTGTTGAAACGGACAGCAGCATAATTTAAAAACAAAGACTGCGACGAAAACACATCGAATTCCAACTACGCTAGTGTTGGAATTGGTGAATGCATCAACGTTTATACAAATTATTTACGTACTTTTGCGGGAGACAAGTTCGCGGCCTTAGCTACGCTCACGGCCGCCATGTTTGCAATCTCGTAAACGCACGCAACGAACGGGAACGGAAACGGTAACCCGCGAGATCGCCGGCAGAGGGCAAGAGAGATGAAATAAAGTAAAAAAAAAAAAATATATATCAATGAGAAAAAAAAAAAAAAAAAAACTGTCTGGATTGGAGCGCTGGAGCTCGTGTGGGGGAGTTACCATCCGCGCAAATTTCTTTCGCGGAGTTGGCGGAGTTCGCCGAAGTCGAAAAATGAGGGTGCCGCGACGGCGACGTGCTCCCGCTCGATGCCCGCTCCGTTTTTGAAACGATCCCGCGTCGACGACGTTTGCAAACTGGTGACCGTTCCCGAACGAAGCGACTTCTGAAAAAGTTCGATGTTTTTCCCACACCGGACAGATGATACTCTTCGGGCGGAGGTTGTCAAGGGTTGTGCTCCACAAGAAACTGGTCCCGATCGGAATATGCTTCGGAGTGATCCTCTCTCTGACCGCGGTTCCCTTCATGGGCTGCCAGCAGCGGAAACCATCGACGCCCACCGACGGCTACAGCGCGCAGCGGGGCCTTGTACTGTCGGCGGCGGGACGACAGTTCCCCGAGGACGACGAAGACTTCGAGCCCGCGCTCCACTTGGACGCGAGACGCAAGACGTCGCAGGCCAACAGCCCGGAAAAAGTGGTGCTCATCAGACCTCGATTCTACAGCACGGAGCTAGAAATACGCGAAAAGCTGCTCGTTGCTGTGCTCACGTCTCCGGAAACGATCGACACCTTCGGCGCTGCCGTGAACCGGACGCTCTCCAGGCACCCCAACAAACTAGTCTACTTCTCCTGCACGTCCGATGGGGAGGTCCCGTCCACGTTGCGCGCGCCGTCCGTCGTGAACTTTGCCGGCGTCAACTGCGATGCACTCGCGTCGCATGCACTTCGACATCTCTCCTCCAAGAACGTGGTGAAGGACTTCGACTTCTTGTTTCTGATGCGAGATAGCACCTACGTCAACGGCGACAAGCTCGTGGGACTGGCGACTCGTGTGAGCGTCAACGGAGACGCGTTCATCGGGCGCACGTCCGACGCGGGTCTGTGCGACATCGATGCCGGGATCTTGCTGAGCAATGGCGTTTTTCGCAAGGCTGTCGCCGGCCTCGATGGTTGCATCGATGGCACGGACCAACTCTCCGACGACCGCATCGGAGAATGCATCGCCAAGGCGTCCGGAGTACCTTGCAGCGATTCCTACCAGGTATTGTTACGGTTTATTGAGATCATTAACGAGTTTGTCTGTAGCATTCTTCTACTTACCTTCTTACCTCCACCTTCTAGGGTCAAGCGTACTATGCCCTCAACCTCGAGAAGGACTTGGGTTACGTTCCAGACCCGGCGACTTTAGTGAGCAGGAAGGACTTTGGCAAGGTAGTGACTGTTTATCCAGTGTTGTCATTCAAGTACCACTACAGGTTACATCATCACTTCAGCCACTTCAACCTACAAAAAGTGCACAGGCAAATTGCTCTCACCGAAAAGCTCATTGCCGATGTAGCCGTTCATATGCCCAAAGACTTCCCTGGTCGGCCGGACTGGCCATTGGGAGTGGAAGCACCGTTGAAGCCTTCTAACAGATTTGATGTTGCTCGTTGCATTTACTTCAATGACACCCACATGCTGTGGAAGAATGACAATGATGTCATCAGCCCAATCACTGGATCTGAAAAACTCAGCCTTGATGATCTGAAGCATTCTGCTGCAGAGTTCTTAAAAAAACTCTACAAGACAAATTTGACCATTGTTAATATTGTGGATGGTTACAAAAAGTTTGATCCCACAAGGGGTCTCAGTTACATGATGCACTTGCTACTTAGGGACCAGGATTCTAATACAGAACTCCAGAAGACATTGGAGTTCCTTCGCCCACTTGGTAAGTCGGAGATCCTTCCCATGCCTTATGTCACAGAGCACACTCGTGTGGTGATGGTTCTCTTCGTGAAAGAGAATGAACTGGATCATGTAGTCGTTTTTATTGAGGAGTATGCCAAGACATGTCTGGAGAAGAATGACAACACAATGCTCCTGCTGGCTTTCCTGCAGCCCATGGATACACCTGATGCTTTTGGCAACATTCGAAGCTTTGCACTGTCAAGCTCTAACCGCTTCCGCAGAAGCAGCGCCAAGCTGGCAACAATCAGCATCAGGATTCCAAAAGACCGGCGAATTCCGTCGGACTTTGCACTCATGGACCTCGTGGTGCGGAAGCTTCCTCAGGATTCTCTGGTTCTCCTCTGCCAAACAGGGATGGAACTCCGGACGGACTATTTGAACCGGGTGCGGATGAATACCATAGCAGGTGTGCAAGTGTTTCTGCCCATCCCTTTTACTCAATTTCATCCAGTCATCACAGAGCAAGAGCCACCTATGCCCGAGCTCCTCGAGCTGAAACGTGAGAATGGCTTCTTCGACAGCAACAACTTCAAACATTTTAGCTTTTATGTTTCGGACTACTGGCATCACCGTGCACTTATTGCCAAAGAAGTGCCTCTTGCCCACAGCAGCACTGACTTGACGGCTGCCCACTACCATGACCTCACCTTTGGAATCGTGGAACTGTTTTTAGTGTCCAAAGAGCTTCATCTGCTTAGGGCAGTTGAGCCCGACCTAAGGCTGTACTACATCTGGAGGAACTGTGACAGTGAACCCAACTTAAGGGCAGCTGAGAACTGTAAGCTCTCAAGACTGAATTCTGTCGGTAACCGGGGCCAACAGGCCAGGTTTCTGCTTTCCCAAGTGACAGGGAAGCCAACAAGAGCTTCCCGTGACCTGCCACCGAGCTCTTGATGCCAGAGTGAGTTCCTATGATAAGAAATTTCTCCTCATACAAACTTGTCTGCAAAGGCAGGGCAATCCCCCGAACTTCTACTCTAATCATCTTGTACGCTCGCATTCCTGGAGGGCTGGGCACCTGGCATGCCAGACGTCTGGATCGTGCCTTGAAGGCAACAAGGGGGTTGCCCCACGTTTTTATTTTGTTTTTGTATGGTCTGCACGGCCCCACGCCCTATTACCACTGACAGGGTAACTGCCGACCTTGTGGACGAGTTTGAGAAGCTGTCCCGAACCCAGGTGCAGTTTTTATTTTATGTTAAAAGTTGAAACACCTTGCTTCCCTTTTTATACGTCTTTACTCCAGCGTTTCTTCTTTTTTTTTTTTTTGTGCCTGTTTTTATTGTTAGCTTGTCTTTTACAGTGGTGACGCACATGGTCTGTTTTAATACGTCATTGCTTGTCTTCACGTTGTAGAAGTATTCCAAAGGTCTATCAAGTTGTGTATGGGGCCAAAGGCATTTCTTTCCTTGTTTTATGTGTAGGGTGTACCAATTTTTTAAAGATGACTTTTTTTTCTTTTTTTACATTTGATATCCAAGTTCGTGACATTCATCACTGCCCTGTGGAGTTCCTGTGACGTCACAGCGATATCAGGCGACGAAATAAACTGTTGGTATTTTATTTATGTCGTTCCTAGCGCAATTCTTGCGCGGCGCCAACCACTTCCGCTTGCTTGCCTTTCTTTTTTATTTTCTTCCTCGGATTTCCGGAGAGTCGAGAATGAAGTCTGGCTTTCTCTTGCTCCCAATATCTGCACACGTCACCTCACGAGAAGTCGTTTAGGTTCTTTCTTTTTTTTTTTTCGCTTGTTTTTTGTTTGATTGCAAACCTCAATCGGAGACTTTGTGAGAAGCTCAGAGCGATTATATTGAAACGTCCCTGACTTCCACGAACTCTTTCATGCCGGTTAACTTTTTTTTCTCTCAAACGTTTAGATATGACTGATTTTTTTTTTAATGTGGCATTGCTGCGTTGTGTGTGTGTGTGTGTGTGTTTGTTTGCACTCTAGTTTTACGAGTTATATATACATTTTTACAAGTTATCTAAACTTTTTTTTTTTTTTTTACAATTATGCGATAGTTATGAAAATGACCTGTTTTTGTTCCGTAACGAAATGATTGTAGAAATGGCGAAAATCGGCTTCACATGCTACGACACTAATTTACATAAAGACCACGTGATGTTTTTTTTTTGTTTGTTTTTTCGTTTTTTTGCGGGAACTTTAAACAAACAAAATAACGAAAGAAAAAAATTCTCGTACTTGTTTTGCGCAAGCGTTAAACAAAATAACGACAGAAAAAATTATCGCAATTAAAAGTTGAAGTTGACAAAGCAAGGGACGGGAGGAAAACCCTACAATTTCCATTTTACCCTTCTTATTTTTTTGTTTTGGTAAATCTAACATTTACATAAATCACACCAAAAATTTTTTTTTTCTTTTTTTACAGGAAAAAGAATTGATGGGAAAACACTTCTTTTCTCAATTTTTGATAGAGGAAAGTTTATCTGTGAAGAAACAGTGAGTGCGCAGGCGAGCTGGTGGATGTTGATCATGATGTAGAAAACCCGAGACTGGTAAAAGCAGGAAAACGGTCTCGAAGAAAAATGAACGGTTCTTTTCCCCTGTCTCTCTTCTTCGACACCGTTTCCCTGCTTTTACCACAGTCTCGGGTTTTCTACATCATGATCAAAGTTTCTCTGGCTGTTTTAACCATTGGCAGTTTTTATTATTCCCTTGGCAATCCGATGTAGCCCCCTCCTATTTTGGAAGGTGAGGAGCTATCCGCAGTATTTCAATAAATGACATGCGCTTCGACGAAAGAAGTGCACGCCGCCACAACTTTGTGGTACATTGCAGTGTCCTAGCATGCGAAGCCGATCCACACACACAGAGAGAGAGAAATAAGCACGCTCCCATGACGCCTTCCGAAAATTAGCGGCGAAGATTAGCAGACGGCGTGCGCCGTCTGCTAGTCTCCCCTACCAACTAAAGTCCCCAACTGCACGCCACGCGATCCTCAAAGGGTGCGGCGCCATATCTTAGCCGGCCTCTTTTATGCCGAAATGTATTTCTCTAATTGTATTTTATTGTATTTTTTTCGGCACGACGTCGATCTTAGAGGGCCCGACGAGCCACTCTGCCCGTCGCCCGCCACGTGTTATCGTTCACGCAACATGCGGGCTGCTTTGTTTTTCTTTCGACTACGAGGGGCATGGTAACGTTTAGGGAGGCAGAAAATAGCGTTGGCGCTGGAGACGTAAACAGCCGCGTCCCCGAAGTTATCGAAGCGAAAGAAAAACAAATTCCAGCTTGTGTTCAGTGAGCCACCTCTCCGCAAGCACCAAGAAAAGGCGAGGCATTATCGTTTCCGGTTTTGACGGACCCACGCGCTGCATTGACGATGACGTCATGCCGCTGTGTTGACGCAGCAGTCGGCACAGCGCATGCGCACACACTTTATGTGAATCCGATTTCTGCACACGTGATCCGGTTCCTGTGAAGGGAAAAGTAACGCTATGTTTAATCCAGATGAACCAACTAGCCCAACAACGTACCCTACTACGCTATTTCTTTTTTACCAGCCTCTCTCTCCCCGGCTTCACGACAAAATTTTTGAGCGAAGGCGCCGAGCGACTCGGCAGCACGTCGCGAAATTAGGCCTCGAAGCGACTGCTCCAAACCTGTCGTTTTGCGACAAAAGTTGTCGTGCGACAGCTGCGACTTGCCGGTGTGAACTCGCCTTAAAAAGCCTAAAAAAATGTTTTTATTTTAATAGTTTGTTAAGACATGCGTGTAAAGAAAAAAAAAAAGGATTTTACGCGAAAAAAAATTAGGGCAGTATTGACGGCGCCAGATTTTAAATTCTGCGCGCAAAGCCCATGACGTCACTAAATGGTCACGCACTTTTTCCACCTCAACGAGATGATCATGCACTCTCTCCACCTCAACGTGATGGCCAAGCCGATCCACATCTCCTCCACGCGTCCGAAATGCCGAGAGAGAAAACAAGTGGAAAGGAGGTGACTACCGACTAAATCGCGTTTGTGCCGTCAATATTGCTCTAATTTTTTTTTTCCGTGTAAAATTATTTATTTATTTCTTTTGACACGCGTGTACCAACCAAACTGTTTAGGAAAAAACTTTTTTTCATTTCCAGGTGTTTTTTAAAGGGGCCCTGCAATAACTTTTTGACTGGTTTTTAATTTGTACCGAACCGGGGCGCACTGAACGTAGTAACTTAATTAAACTTTCCTTTTCTCGAATTTCGCTTTATTTTAAAAGTTATAGGCAAATTAATATTACAAAAAAAAGCAAAAAATAACCTCCTTCTTGACGTCCTTGATCCTGGCTTGAATGGCCGTGAACTAGATGAGCGGTAGTGAGCTCAGCGAGCGCTCACGGCTGCCGCACTCCGTGTCGACGGCTCGAGGGGGCGCCACCAAAGCATGTTCTGGATAGGCTGTATAAAGCGGGCAGCCAGGGCGGCTCGCATTGCATTTGCTGCGCGATTAAACACTAATTCGGCGTTGCACTTTATTGGCCACAAACGACAGCAAACACGGGGTAAAAATCAGTTTAGAACGGGAGCCACTTCGCGCTGGCAAATCTGTTCGCCGAAGGCCTTCGGAACGCTCGGAACCGGCGGATCTTCGAGCCCGTACACAACCGCAGCGTTGCCGCATACATCCGGGACCTTTCTACGCTCGCCGCTCGTCGGTGCCTGATCCCACTACCGCTTTCTAGTGTCCTCCTGTTTACCATCGCAGTGACAGGTCATGCTCGCGCATCCTTTCATCTCCAGGGGAGCGCGCCGGTGCCTGGAACTGGTTGAGTGAACAAAGATTCCGATTTCATTTCCCGCGTTCTGCCGTTTCGCAACGCAACGCTAATCCCCAGCGTTGCGTTGCATTCGCACGCTAGCCCTTCTCTTGCGTTCTGCGCATGCGCACGTTCCCCCTCCGTTAAGCCCTCCGCAACGAAGAAGCTGCTACTGCGCCTGCGCGTTGATGGCCTTGACTGTAGAGTTCCGGGTATGGTAGCCGGTTGCGGAGAGCGTTGCGCGACGGCGAAAGCGATCTACGAAAACTCCCTAATTTATTTGCGTACGCAAAGCTATAGCGTACGGTCCACTAAAACTGGATACTAGAGTTTTAGTGAACCGTACGCTAAAGTTTTGAGTACGTAAATAAATTGCGGGTCGAAAGTGCACGTCCGTAGTACGCGTACTCACGCAACGCTGAGGATTTTGCGATGCGAGCTAGCGGCCCTTGCGGGAAGCTCTCGAGAGATCTCGGGCCCAACGAGAGCACCTGTTTCAAGATGGCGGTTACCTCGACTGACGCAGCAAGGGCGACGTGGTGTTCGCGAAGTTCAGTGTTACGTGAAATTGCGTGGTGTTCAGCCCGGCAATTTTTTCCGGGACCTACCGCGGTCGAATTAGATTGCCGTGCAGCTGAAGGGGTGCATATTGAAAATGTTCACCAGATCAACGCTGCGATCTGCTCAACGCTAAGCCTCTTCGCGCAGTTCATCGCCGACGGACGAACGACTCTTCAAGAAATTACCGAAGCTTTCGCTATGCACTGGACATCAGTAGTTCATGGATTTCTTCCCGCGATAGCATTGATAAAAGGTGCCGTTTCCACCGGACGATTGACGGAGGCTCCGTAATCGGATTTGGCTACGAACACGTACTAGCCTCTGTACCCCGCAGAAAAGCGCGCTCGACCAGGCAGCTGCGGCTAAGTTTAATTTGAAATAAAATTATTGGAAACGTTTTCATTTTCAATATTCCTTTTGAGGAGCATGGTGGCACTATAAGCACGCGGAGTTCTACGGCTCTGGCAAATTTAATAAAAAAGATCACGCGAGATGCTCACTCGTCAACGTAACGCACAGCTAAAATCGGCCAGAGCAGGTCGTTTTTAGCGTACGCTATACTATCACGTACCGGCCCATTCACACACTTGCATTTGACTACAAGCAACTGAGAAAACACCGGTTTTTAGTCCTCTTCTGACGGCTTGCGACCAGCTCCGCAGCAGCACATCCAGTTGTAAGCCGTTAGTACTCGGTTGCAAGTAGGGAGTTTTCGTAGATGGTTTTCGCCGTCCCACAACGCTCTATGATACCCGGAACTCTACAGTCAAAGCCATCGGCGCGCAGGCGCAGTAGCGGCTTCTTTGCGGAGGGCTCAGCGGAGGGGGAAACGCGGTCTACGAAAAGTGTGTGAACGGGACTCCGATACTCCGCCACCGCCTTTGCGGATGTATCGTATCGTTATCGAGTATCGATACCGGGGGTATCCGAGGTATCGGAGCGGTCTGCTAAAACTCTCTGTTGCAACGAATAGTGCAGCACATCCATTCAGCGCCTCGTCCCGCGATAGAGTTTGAAAAGAGGGGGCCGGTTTGCGTCCCCGAACTCCAAGTAGCTTGGGCGTCGCACTGCGCAAGCGAAAAAGCATTGCGCATGCGCAGTGCGAAGCCCCAACCTGCTTGGCGCCCGAAGCGTTGGTACGGTGAACCAGATTCTAGTGCACCACAGCGCTGGTGGCCCCTATTCTAAAACTCCCTAATATAGAGTTTTAGTTTATCGTTCCGACACCTGCAATACCCCCGATAACGATACGATGCATCATCCATGCGCAAAAGCATTAGAGAGTTTTAGTAGATCGTTCCCATGACTCCGATAACGATACCCGATACTCCGCCACTACCTCCCTGCGCTTGCATAGTATCG